AGACCCTAGAGAAGGAAGCAAATAAATGGACATTCCTCAATATGACTCACGGCATATGTAAAGGGCCAACAGCCAACATCATAGCTAAGGGGAAAGACTGAGGGCTTGCCCTCTTGAACTGGAGAACAAGTCCAATTGTCTGTTCTCATCACTTCTATCCGATATTGTACTAAATAGAGTCCTAGCCACAATAATAATACTAGAAAAAGCAATTTAAAGTATCCAGGTTGGAAACTAAGAAGTAAATTTATCTCAATCCATAGGTAATATGATGATCCTATATATAGAAAACCCCAAAGCGTCTGTAAGAAAATTGCTAGAGCTAAAAGTTTAGCAAAATTATAGGGTACAAGGTCAACAAACAAAAATCAGTTGGGTATCTACACCAGCAATGAGGACCTGAAGGGAAATTTGGGAAATAATCCCATTTACAGTGGTGTCCAAGAGAATAAAATACTAGGAGTAAGTTTAAGTGGGCACATGAAGAAAGTGTAGAAGAGAGAAATGTCAGAGATTTCTGAAAGAGATTAAAGACGACTTAAATAAAGGGGGAAATGTTCTATATTCATGCATTAGAAAGACTGAATACAAGAAGGATTCAAAAGTTCATGGGACAATTCCATTGTCTTTTCATTCCATTTTTCTACTAGCTTTTTGAAGTCCCCTCAGATTATTAAGATGTCAATACTGTCCCCAAACAATCCATCTATTCAACTCAAGCTGATCACAATTCCAACATTCTTTATAGAAATGGAAAATCCAATCATCAATTCCATACGAAACGGCAGCAAGTGGAGAAGTGCTCCTGTCCTGCCGGAAAACAAGACAGGATGACTCACTCGTCCCCACTGTAAAACCTCCTGCGTGTGTGCAATCTCCAAGCTTGACAGGTTTTTCATTTCCCTATACATTTCTAATCAGCAATGAGAGCTTTCAGGTTTGTTCAAAATAAATAAATAAAAGTCACAGAATGATTACAATTTTGCCCATTCACTATGAAGACCCTTTTGCAGGATTTCAGCTTACCTGGCCTGGCATGTTTACATTGCTCGCACCTCCAGGCAGAAGCAGCCCTGGTGGCACTGCGGGCTAGGCACTGGGTTCTTGACTCTCTCTAACATATTTTTCTCTGGTTTTTGGTCTATGAAACCCAGGTTGGGTGAATCTAGAGGCAATACTAGAAAAAGAGTGCCTGGGGGGGTATAGGAGGGAAGGGAGGACAATGGAGAGTGAAGGAAAACGTGTCGAAAATGACCATGGTAGCAAATGTACAACACGCCTGATGTGGTGGAAATGTTGAATGGTAGGATGTCTGGATTATGTCCTAATAAAGTTATTTGGGAAAAATAAATTTTAAAAAATTATGCAAAATAAAAAAGTGGTTTACAGCAGTGTTTCCCAAAGTGTGCGATACTGCCCTCTGGGGGTTGCTGGAATGATCCAGAAGGGGTGCAAAATTAAGATACTTACATTTTATGCTGACTATAGTACAAACATTTTTAATTCCCAAGCAAGTGCTGACTAATCTCTTTTTCTTCCTGAAAAGGGGACCACATAAGTTTGGAAACCTATCATTTGCAGTCTTGGAAAACCTACGTATGGTCGGTTAGTCAGTCAACTCACTGGCAATGGATACAGCTGCAGTAATCAAAACAGCTGACACTGACTAATAGAATTGAATTAAAAATCCAGAAATAAACCCTCACATCTCTGGGCAACTGATTGTTAGTAAGATTGTTAAGTCCCCCCAATGGGGAAAGAAGAGTCTCTTCAGTAAGGGGTGCTGGGAGAACTGGATATCCACACGCAAAAAATGAAACAGGATCCAGGCCTCGGGCCATAGAAACACAAGCTCAAAACGGATTTCGAATGTAAACAGGCAAACTGAACCATAAAATTTTTAGAAGAACAAGCTGGGACAGTGATGTCAGGCCTAGCTCTTAACAATGGATGATCTAATAACAAAAGCAAAACAGCAACAACAACAAAAAGCAACAATGGAACCTCACAAGAATTTTAACTTTTGTTCTTCAAAACACTTCAAGAGTGAAAAGACAACTTACTTACTGAATCTCTTCAGAAAAATACAGATTTGATAAGACTGTAGTAACATTTAATATGTTTAAACCATTAACATGTATGGTATTAAAATTCCATCAATAAAACTTGAAAAAATCCTCTGGACACATAACAATTTTTTAAAAAAAGAATGTAGTAACAAAAATATCATGTACTAGGATGAGTTAAACACAAAGACAAATAACCCAGTCATAATATGGGCAAAAGACCTGAACAGACAGCTCACCCAAAAGGACATTCTAATGGCCACCAAACACAAGAAATCTAAGCGGACTCTGGGCACCATCAGCCATCAAAGAGATGCAAATCAAACTGCAATGAGATACCATTTCACTCTCACTAGGAGAGATAAGATTAAAAAAAGAAGATGCTGAAATAAAAAAGGTTGTCAAAAATGTAGGGAAATTGGAATATTCATCTATAGCTGGTGGTTCCTCAAAAACCTAAATACTGTATAGACTAACATACAGCCCACCCATCATACTCCCAGATATATACCCACACGGCTGACAACAGGCTGGAAAAAGAGACTTAAGAATATTCACGACAGCCCAACCGTGGACGCCACTTAGGGGCTGGATCATCAAGGTTCACACAGAGTTCCAATGGAGCACCGTCTCAGCAGCCCAGAGGGGAAATGGAGTCTTGATGCATGCTGCAAGATGTGCACCTGAGCAAAATAAGCTCATCACTAAAGAACAAATATTGTATGACCTTAGTTACGTAAAAAGACAAGAAACAAAGGTAAATGTACCCAGACAAGTTTTTACCAGTGGTCAGGGGGAGTGGAGGAGCGAGGACTCTGTGATGGAGAAATCACTTTGAATTTGGGCTGCACAGCTGATTAGTGTAATCACTGTTAATAAGTTGTGCACTTGTAGAACACTGAATTGGAAAAAGTTGCATGAAAGACCTGCATCACTGACCAAAGAAGAGTAGTTGCAGGGCTTTGAAGCAGCAGCAGCAGGGGGAAAGAGTACACATCAGAATCACTGTGGGACAGACGACGGGGAGGGAGCTCACCCATCTCTCCTAAAAGGCACTGCCATAGTTATCTTTGAAATGTTCCCCGAGTGTGCTGGGCACGAGGCCCACAAAAGGTTGAGAATCTCTGCTCGAGTGCCATCTTCAAGTCACCTCCACGGTCTCAAGAGCCGACTGATGACACTGGGAAGTGCAATCTACCCCATATAAGGAATGTAATTCTGGTATCTCGAGTTCGAGAGAACTTTCCTGTAGAATATTCTGTTCTTAGTAGAAAGAATAAGGTCAATTCTTAGTATAAATTATAATAACCATACTCAATAGATATTCTAATTGGAGCTTAACTGTGAGTTATACTCTATTAATACGACCCTTCCAGTCATATCCCTTATGGGACACATCCTAATTCTGGATGCCACACACCTGTGGCTGCAGTCGCCTTTTGAAGGACATTAGCTGCTAACAAACAGGAATCGAATGAGATGAAGACTTATCATTTGCTGTCCCTTTTGACCTAGCTTAAAATTGTTCTAGTTTTTAATATTTTCTGCTTTCTTTTCTATTGAGGTTTTCCTCTAGTTTATTTTGTTAGCTTTTGGGGTTTTTTCCTTGTTTTTGTATGCTTTTTTTGGTATATGAGATCCAGGATGTGTGAATCTATAGACAGTAATTGGATTAATGGTTTCTTTGTGGTATGACGGGAGCTTGGAAGGAAATGGGGTGCTAATAACAATGAGTACAAGAATAAAATGTTCTAAAACTGATGGTGGTTATGATTGCACAATTCTTCTTGGTATGACTGCAAAATTGTGTTGTATGATATGTGGAATATATGCCCATAAACCTGTTTAAAAAAAAAAAAAAGATCTGACCTTAATAGAGAGTGCAAATCGAACCACACAGTCTTTGTTCAACGATGATTTTGATTACTATTACTTGTGCTGGATCGAAGGAATTACATGCTACAGCTGAAAGGAGGGGGAAAATATCTCTGGAGTGGCCTGCAAAAGAGCCTGGCTGATTAAGATTAGTAGGAGGCCAATGCCTACTAGAAACATCATGCCAGAGGCCCCAGCTCATACATGCATTAATAAGATACGGTCCAGGAGTGGAGAAATAGATCAATAAATTGGGGTGCAATTTGATTGCACCATGAAACTCCTACCAAAAGACCTCTGCCTGCATGGGTATGGTAAGAAGGTCGGGGAACAGACTGATAGGATTCACCTGTGAATAGGTGTGACCACCATTCCCTACAATGCCATCCTGCTGCATATAAAAACAAGCGCACTGAGCAGGGGGTGTGATCTCATCAGCAGCAAGAGCCAAGAGTGTAGCAACACATCCTCTGGACACAGCACGTGGCTCACCCCTGCCTGAACTTTGGACTGAACAGCACCCACCACCATGTGAGACATTTCCTCAAACTTCCTTGAGTTCTTCAAACTTTCAGCAATTCGCAGAACCCAGAAATGTGAGAAACTACACTGGGGGTCGGGGAGGGGGGTGGAATGGAGCCAGACTAGCATCTTTCATGAGTTGGACTTTGGTGACTTCTTCAATCTCCAATTCCTTGGGAGTAGTTGGTGTTAATTTTACAGAAATAAATTATTAACACAAAACGAACAATGAAGCTTAACAATGAACAAGGACCCAATTTGTTGGTGCAGTCTGTTTGTCCAGTGGACGTTCTCTAAATCACCGTGACAAAGGCCTAAATCACCTTGACTGAGGCCCCAGCTCTCCACTGAGGAAATGATCCGCTGAAACACAGACCACATACCCAAGAGAGGAACCAGTGGCCAAGGCCTCCAAGAAATCCACGGCAAAAGTGAGAGACTTGACAACGCCCAGCCCTCTCCTTAGCTGGCAACCCTACCCTAATCCAAATGGAACGAACCAAGCCAACTAAAGCGTGAGGACAGACGAATCCATACCTGTACTATGTCCCAGTTCATTTCCACCTCCTCCTGAAGACTGCTGGCACTTGCCGGAAACTTGACAGGCTGCCCCTGAGGACACGATCCAGTCTTCACTTTCTTTAGAGGGGACTGACCAAATGTAAAATCGTCTTCATCCTCCTCCTTGCATGGACCTTCACACATGGTGCTTGTGGACGGGGGCGTCTCTGAACTAACACCCTCCACCTTGGCGCTGGGGCTGGTGGCTTCAACTTTCAGCTTTTTGGTCCTCTGAGGTGAAGGAGCCTGAGCTGAATTTTTCCGCTTCCCCTTTGCTGTTTTCAAAGTCTGTGCAGTGTACACTTCATTTTTTCTGTCATCCATATCGGCATCAGCAATAGCCACAGAGCGATTCTAGCAGGGGAACAAAAAGGCACAGATTTATTAAAGGAAAAGCCAACTGCTCCAGCATACCGCTACTTCAGCAATGAAAAAGAACAAATTGCTAACATCAAACAATTTAGAGGAAGCTCAAAGGAATAATGCTGGGGGAGGGACATGGGGGGGTGTCAACAATCTCAGGAAGTCACATGTTTACATAACAACCGGGCAGGTGAGGAAGGAGGGAAAGAGGTGGAGCTGGGAAAGGAGCCTGAGGGTAGTTTGGTGGGGAGGAGCCTGCACTGATAAAACTGCAGACGATACACACAGAGTAAAAGGGAAACAAACGGGAGGACTCTGCAAAAGCTCGGCGGATTTTACCAATTTCTCTCTCTGGTTTTCTAAGAAGTTACCACTGGTGGGAAATTGGGTAAAGGGTACATGGAACTTCTCGGTATTATTTCTTATAATTGCAGGTGAATCTATAATCATCCAGAAATAATTTAAAGATAAAAGTGAAGTGGCCAGGTGCACCAAGAACATTAAGCATTCAACTAGGCAGGTTGGAGGTTCAGACCTGCCTAGAGGCACCTTGGCAATATACTTCTGAAAACCAGTCTTGAAAATCCTAATGGAGCAGTTCTACATTACGAATATGGGCTCACCACAAACTGGAATCAACAATCAAGCTGTGGTCCTTAACAGTAATCTAAGAGAGTCACATGAAAAGGAAAGGCTATTCCTACAGAGGCCAGAAGACCCAGGATAAAACTTGGACTCAAAAGGCGACCATTTAAGGAAGAGGAGTAACATTTCCACATTCATAAAACTCCAGAGGCTATACACACTGCCACCAAATTAAGAAGGACCAAAGACAGGAAATACAGCATGACAAGAAGACAATGCCAAACATTTTTAGGAGTCCTCACAGACATCCAGGCCGCCACAGCACCAAGTGGCAGCTCAGGCATGGAGGAAGGCATTTCTCCGGACACTTGAGAGAGAGAGAGGGAGAGAGAGAGAGAGCGAGCTGTCATTATAGGGATCATAATTAAGTAAGCTGGCCTATTCTCAGTTACCTAAGTGATATAAATTGTACAGACATAAAGGAACAACTCCCATACTAAACTTTAGTCCAAATGATCTTTTCTCTTACTATGAGGATAAGTAAAAAGTATAGCTATTAGGGTTCTATTTCATACATGCATGGGTTCATTCCATATAAAACATGTTTAAACACGTCTCTGCAATCAGTGGATGTAATACACTTATCTTAGTCTTGTTAGGGTACCTCACAAAAAAGGGGGGTAGGGGGATACATTTTGTGTTGGGGCTGGGTGGGGCAGTACTTTGTGGTCAGGGACAATATAAATTTTTTAACAAAACTCCAGTGGGCATCTTCTCAAATGATTGAAGCTTTGCAACAAAGTTGATTGGAATACTGCCCCACAAAAAACAAGTTTCCTATTGGCTCAAGTGTTTCCAAGGTCAGGAAGATCTCACTGATGAGCCCAGAGTAGGAAGATCTGCCACTTCACGGAATGAAGAAAGAAGCTATGGCTTCTACCAAACACTGGTAGAAGAGCAGAAAATTAGCATAGGGATCTCACATGATTGGGCATTTCAATATTAAGTGACTATCTTGGTCTCTGCTAGCTTTCAGCTTGATGACTGCCAAAAGCATTATGCAGAGATTAGCTAGCTCAAGAACTGATCTTCCCATTAGGCTCGTAAGATGAAAGGTAATAAAGTCAATTTTATGGAACAAATCATAACTGAGGATGAGTCTTGGATTTACAATGCAATCCAAAGAGCAAGGTCCAATAAGCGGCTTTCTATTAAATAGATAGATAGATTAGCTAGACAGGAGGCAGAAAGATATACTGTATATACTCACTCATGTATGAGCCGAGTTTTTCAGCACATTTTTGTGCAGTTTTTGTGGTAAAATTAGGTGCCTCGGCTGCTGTTTGGGTCAGCTTATACTTGAGTATATACAGTAAATAAACACACACACATTCACTGGTTTTGCTTCTCTAAAGGTCCTAGCTTCGAACATTTGGTACTGTTCCTACAGAATTAAAATGATAAAGATGAAGCTTCTAAATTAGTTCTAAGTATGACTGGACTGACAGGAACTGACTACCCTGCTTCCAGCAGTAAAGAGGGACCTCAGCACCACCAACAAGCAAAGGTGGGCAGCGGAGTGTATCCTGTGGATACGGGGCCGTGACATGAGAGCCTCTTAGACCCAGGGCACGATCAAACTGTGTGACTGAAAGGAAGACTAAAGAGCCTTCTCCTAAAGCTAACAGAGAAAGAAAGCTTTCCCCGAGAGCTGGTGGCCTGCAGTAGGACATCCAGCCTCCTAAAGCTGCCTGCTTTCCTCCTCCTCCTAATTATCCTTTTGGATGGAAGATGACTATTACCGTTGAAAGATTGTTTTTAAACACTGATTATCTTTAAATCACGTGGGTTGGAAGTATAGTTTCCCTAAAGTGGCAGTTACATAATATGGTGTCAATTTGGGACTTGAGAGGATTCAGAGTGAAGGGGTGGAGTCTAGTCAATCGGATGATAGCCAATGAGGCGAGGCCTCTGTGTGGACAAGGCTTTCTCCTGAGAATTCTGGGAAATCTGGGAGAGACTCTCTACTGACAAGGCTGACTTCCTGGAAGACATCGCTGAGAAGCCACATGGACCTACCCTGATGCAGCCATGGGTGCTGGAGCAGCCACGTGGAGACCCCTGTCAGCACTGAGAGGCTTACACCACCACTTAATTCAAAGACTTTCTACCCACTGGCCTGTGATTGTCCTGCTTTCAGTGTCATTGCATGTGTTTCTTGAGTCTGAAGACTTTATAGATTGGTATCGAACGTATGGGCTCATATCGGACTGATGGGCTTGGACTGGACTGGGTTGCGATTCTCAATATTCAACTGCTCTTGTATATAAACCTTTCTTGTATATAAACTTCTTTCTTATACACAAATGCATGTGTATGAATTTGTTTCTCTATTTACCCCTTAGTTCCTGTCCATTTTTTATAGATGTCCATCATTACAAGGCATAATGAGTTAGTTTGCCAAGTTTATTCTCTATTGTTCCTGCACTAGGAATGAGTAGGCTTTCCGTACCTTATACGTGGTGAAGAGTTAAAGAGAGACTTTAAAACCGAGGTAGATTATTTTAGTCGTTTGGTCTGCTTAGTCCCAATTCCTATTTCCCATTGCATCCTGCTATTCCCTACTGCTTGGATTAATTGGGCATCCTGTTATTTTCAGGATTAAATCAAAGTTACACATTTCTAGTTTGTGGTAAACTCTTCAGTTTACTTGGCATCTTTTGAGGGTTTTTGGTTTAGCATTTTTTACAAATTTTAGAGAAAATACTGACAAAAATTATTTCCTTTATATAGTATGTATTTTAAAGTATTGTATTTTTGTTGAATTGTGTGTGTGTAAAATTCGTCACACTTGCAAGAACTCTGCTGCTGCTGGGTAAGTGCTGGGCTGCTTACCGCAAGCCAGTGGCTCAGATCCCTTGGGAGAACGTTGGGGCTAGCTGCTCCCACCAAGAGTCACAGGTATCAGAAAGCCTTCAGGCTCACCATGGGTCAGAATCAACTCAATGACACTGGGTTTGGTCTGGGGGGTAGATAAATACACACGCGCACACACACACACACACACAAAAGGACAGTGAAGAATATTTCCATCATTAAGTAATAAGGTGCACTTAACTATCTTTAAGTTATTTACGTGAATAGTTTTAATTTTTAAAATGGCATGAATTCATCTGTGTGCTATATAATAAAAGAGTTTTAGTTTTTTATTTTTTATTTATTTAGTTAAGGTGTTCAATGTTTTGGGTTTTTCCTGTGCTCGTAACCTTTCTAAGTGACGTTTTTTAAAAATTCATTTTTTGAAAAAACAGGACTGTTTACTTTGCAACCATTTTTCTTCTAAAAAATGTCATCTTTTTGCTCAATTTCTTACTCATAGATGGCAATTTACTAGGCTAATTAACTAGTGCAGTACAAATGCACTGACGGTGAAGAATGGACTTCGTTTCAAGTTTATAAGCACCACTGGCATATTTACACTGATTCATTATAAAATAAAATAGAAGACCGTGGCTTTCTGTAGGAAGGGGGAGAATATTCACAAATATGTATCAGCTTGACCGAGGACATTTCTACATGAATATCTGCTTTTGCTGTAAATATATCTATGGATGTGATGTGGACGATTCATGGGCAGTTAGGAAACCTTCTTTAACATAACCAAGCACCATGAGGAAATGAGTCTCTGCGCCTAGGCCACAGTCTCAGGGGACATCAAGGTCACTGGTACAATATAGCTCACAAAGACAAGGTTCTAATCCTACTTTGTTGAGTAGTAACTCGCGTCTTAGAAGTCCGTGAGTGGGCAGACAATGTACAGCTGTTGGGATTTCTCTTTCCAGAAGTAAAAAGAGTGATGGAAATCAAAGACACTTGGGAGGGGGGAGCCAAAAAGCACAGGGAGAAGGGAACCTAAAAACCTAAAATCGATGACGAGGAGGGCATGCAAAGCCTGGTGAGGTTCGATCAAGTACAGTGTAGCGGAGAGGAAGCACAGAGAGCCGAATGAAGGTCAAGCATGATAGGGCAACAGGAGGAAAGTAAAAGTAAATAGAGAAAAGAACTAGGAGGCAAAAGACATTTTAAAAAGGTGAATGAACCTCGTTCTGGACAATGTCAACTTCCAAATGGACGAAAATGTCGACGTGCAGCGTATTTGGAGTTTGTTCCACCAGTTCAGACTGTTAATCAAGCTTTCTATTAAAGGTTCTGAAAAGATTGTGTAACAGTGTACAACCAAAAAAGGCCTGATTTGTGTTAAGTGGGGGACTGGTTTTGCTACCACAATGCACTTGCACTCAGCCATCTCAATGTGCCAGTTTTTGGTAAAAAACAGCATACCTCTCTTGCCCCACACACCTTACTCACCTGACCTCGCTCTGTGCAACTTCTTTTGGTTTCCTCAA